AAATTATCTCTAAATTTATCTAAAACAAAATTCATGGTATTTAGCAATAAAATGATAGATAATGATATTAAAATTAAAATTGATAACTTATTAGAAAGAGTTAATTATATAAAATTTTTAGGAGTGATTATAGATCATAAACTGTCATGGACATACCATATACAAAATGTTCAAAAGAAAATATCAAAAACAATTGCAATATTGTATAAAGTGCAATATAGTTTGAACAAAAATGCATTATATATTGCACAGTCCTCTCATCACTCCATATTTAACACATGGAGTAGAAATTTGGGGAAATACATATAAATCTAGAACTACTCCAGTTTTTTCATTACAAAAAAAGGTCATCAGATTAATTACACATTCTCCACATAATACCCCAACAAATCCTTTGTTTATTCAGTTGATAACATAAAAATTCTATGACTTGGTAGACTTGTGTACTGCTAAACTTATTTATAAGCCAAAACAACAAACCCTCCCGCAGTATTTGCAAGCTATGTTCAGCGTAAGGGAAAGTAATTATGACCTTAGAGGGACATATATGTTTAACAAACCATATTGTAGAACTAAATTAAGTAGTAACTGCCCATCTAATAAAGGTGTTCAGTTGTGGAATAGTTTTCCTGATGAAATAAAAATGGCTACTTCATTACCACAGTTTAAAATACTTTATAAAATAATGGTAATAAAAGATATACTCAATAATAATGAAAATAATAATCATAATGAATGTTCTTCTAAATATATATTCAAAAATACTCAGTATTTTTTTATATATTAAATTTATGTCCATTAGTGCTGCTTGTGTGGAGTAAGAGTAGGCATAATAAGCATTAGCTTCAGCCTACACCTTTGGTCAATATTGTTTTTTATTTATTTTGTTTTATTTTGTATGATTATGTATGTGTGCATACATGCTTTTATTCAAATGGATGTATGTACCCTTATGTTTCATGCTTTTTTGTGTAAAATAATTGCAATTCTAATTTTGCTTGTTGACCAAAAACCTAATAAATGAAATGAAATTAGAGTGACCAGGGCATTCCCACTGAGTCCTTGTGTGTGTGCACATGAACTACTAGAAAGTAGATAGTGCTGGAGAAAAGTGGGTAGAGGCATTTTGTCCATTGATTCTTTCTCTGCTGCCCTAAAAACTGGTGAATTGACAGTTGACATAAAGCCATCAGGGCAGGGGAATCACCTGAGAATGAAAGAGAGCCTATTAGTCTTACAGTATGTTTCATAATAACAAAGTTATTGTAACCTCAGTTCTCTCATTGCTATCCAAACCAATTCAGATCTGTGAAATGACTAGATATTCACATGTGATGTGGTACCGTTGAGGTAGCATAGTCATATTTTGGCTCCCCCCTCACACTGCTCACCACTGGGAACAACTCCACCCCACGAGGGTGGTCTTTAAAAGGTACACCAAGAAAGCTGCCATCAACAACGAATCCCAGAGTCCCCTGCACCAGCATCGAGGACCAGCAGGATGCGTTCAGGGATAGGGAGAGGTGTTTCTGCCACGTTTGAGTCAGTCAGGACATGTGTTGAAGTGGAAGATTCTGCAGCCTTGGAGTGACATTTCTTCTTCTTTAATGGGTAAAGTCCCAGACTCCGTCCACCATGCCAAAGCTGATTGGTTTTGAGTTTCCAGCCCCAGGACTGCAAGTCTCTGCCCACCAGCACATCATACCCTGAGGTCTGCAAAGGGACAGTCCTGCCTGGAAATGCCCATGACAGCATCACTCCCTCTGTGGTCGAGGTTGCACAGCACCTCCCAGACATGAAGCCTGGTCTTAACCCCTATCTTTCCTCTCACCCCATCGCTGCTGAGCTCTACTTGAGAACGTGTCACTTCCTGTTCACAGGCAGAGAGCAGAAAGTGTGGAGAACAGGGAACTAAGCTGGAGAAACTGGTGAGGAGATCAGAATGATTGTGAGGCGAGAGGAGGCCGGGACAGCCAGCAGAGAGAAAGCAGAAGAGGAGGAGGGAAGGCTGTCAGCTGCCCTGCTGTACAGCCAAGTTGCTAGTGAGAGACCCATTGGTACAAACAGTCTACAGTATAACACACAGGCAGGGTCACTGCTATCAAAGGAACTGTGGAGAAGACAGTAGACAAAACATTAGTGTATACACTAAACAAAAATCTGATCAGTACAAACATAAAAGGAAGTGTGAATTCATATTGAACTTTACATAGTAATGTAATTCAGCTTGAGTGAGTTTATTTTAAACCTTATTTATGGTGAAAACACCTAGAGAGGTACAACAGACCTTTGTTAAGTAGATTCAAGTAGCAGACAGCAAGCTCAAGTACAGTGAAATATAGAGGTGTCAAAGTAAGGCAAGGAAGTATAGAATAGATTAAGTGGCATTAAGTCAAATGAAGTGTTAGGGCAAGGTGAGGAAGAGTAGATTAATGGACTGAAATAGACTAGAGGAGAATAGGTAATATGGGCAGAAAATCAGAATAGTAGGGTAGAGTACAGAGGGTTAGCAGAGAACAATGAAGACGAGCAGGTCAAAGTAAAGCTGAACAGAGTGAAGTAGACTGAAGGTAAGAAAGTGAAGTATCAGAAAACAAAGACTTGACTTGATTAGGGCAGGGCACAGTAAAGTAGAATCAAATGTATGGACTAATCTGCAGAATAATCGATAATAAAAAATGCAATCATTGCAGCCCTTATATAATAAGATAAAGTGTGCTAGAGTAAAGTAGGATAGACTGAAATAGAATCGAGAAGAACTAGTGTGGTGGAATAAAGTACCAGAGTAGTGTACAGGAGAACAGAGCTGTAAGTATTCTGATCATTTACTTAAGAGCAAGTAGGCTACTCCTACAGTATGTAAACTGACCCATTAAAACTTGACCTACATTAAAAAAAGAAAGAGAGAAGCATTTCATATGTGTCAGGTTAGGGTAGTAATGACAAATGATGTTACCAGCGGTTCTGATGACCCTTCCCCCTCGGTCGTTAAATGCAAAACATCCTCTGACTGTGTGTTTATAAATCTCTCTTATCAAGCATCGTGTGCGTAACATATCCGCTGTGTCTGCGCCGGTGTTGTTGGGACGACCTCCGGGACGGGAACAGGACAGTCTGTCACTTCAGAGACATGGGCAGCAGTTCCTGGGACGCGTTTTTAATCTCAATCAGGAGAAATTACACGGCCACCGATTCATGTCATGCAGGCTAGGCTTCACAGCTCTCATCGGTTTTTGTCTTCAGTGCTTCTTTTCTTTCATCGCGTTCTGTAATGGATATAAACGAAAATAGCGAAACATACTAGGAGGATCAAACTCGGGCTTTTAATCAATAAAAAGATAAAAACAAAATAGAACCCAAAGCGGCTCATTATTCCCGAGAGCGCATGCGCATAAAGGGGGAGCGTTGATGTTGGGAAACTAAGTCCTGGTCACTGTCTTGCAGACAACATTCACCTACCTGTTCAAACTCTTTTGGGCAAAATTACGATTTATAGATCAATAGAAAGCCAGGCGATTTTTGTGATAGAAAGATAGAAAGACAATACGTATGTAGTGGCAGTGGTTAAGTAGGTACTTGAGGTCGATTATTGTGATTTTTCATTTATCATTTGTTGACTTGTTAAACATTTTCTGTCAATCAGTGAATCAGTCATCTCACTGTTCATTTCAGCTCTAAAATAAAAGTTTAATAGAATTTTAATATCTATTTGGTACAGGAATTTCACACTGATCAAACCATGCAAAAATGTTAACTTATGCACAGAGGATTTACATGTGCACAGCAAATGACTTAATTTGTTCATTTGGGGTCTCCTGCTGGCCTCAATGATATCCCAGTTTTGTAAACCACTGATAGCAAACTCTACCGATTGAAATTATTTGTCTGTCCTCTCGTATGTGTAACCCTAAAACCCGAAGAGCCTACACAGACCTCATTATATATGAATACAGTATTGGCCTATTTCTGTTAGGAATTAAAATTGGCATCAGGAAAGAAAACCAGTCTATGTAAAGTGACATCTGTAGTAAAGTAAACACATTCAGCATGCGTATTGCTCTACAATACCCCAAAACATAGACCAGCAAGTCAGTTGTTACTACTTTTGTTTGCCTTTCTGTTTTCTACTCCCTGTCCTTTTCTCTATATATAAAGAGAACAAATCATTTAAGAGTATACATAAACACATTGAGTATTTTGTAATATTATACAGAGATGGTTCCAGTAGCCGTCCCTGGTAGGCTAGTGGATAAGGCGCAGCACTCTCACCGCTGCAGCTGGGTTCGAGTCAGAGTTGCACCAGGAAGGGCATCCGGCATAAAACACGTGCCAAATGTCAACATGCGAGTCATGAGTGTGACGATAAGCTGTGGCGACTCCTAAACAGGAAAAGCTGAAAGTGACTTTCTTATACAGAGATGGTTCCAGTATGCTCTATGCCAGTATCTCCAACCCAATTTGAGAAGTGCTTTTGCAGTGTTTCTTTGTTGTTCCATAACTGTAGAATGTCCGCTGAAGGTATGTGCAGTTTCCTTTGATTTTTGTGTGTTGCTAGTGAATTTGTCACAGAGATACTGCTCTAGGTACACAGCATAATGGCCTTTGGCATGGTACTGGCAAAGAGAGGACCTGCAAAATAAAGTAATGTTAGTGGGAAAGACATGGTATTCTGAGAGACGGGATTCATTTTTATGCCTCTAAGCCAGCGATAAATGTGGCCAGAGGCATTATGTTTTTGGGTTGTCCATCTGTACGTCCATCTAGTCCTACTGCAGCATCCTGTTTGGTGCAGGACTGGGATCCCAGTTATCCACACATTTCATGGGACCTTTTAAATGCTTCAAAGATGACTGGTTGCAGTATATCATAAGTGGTGATTATCATAACATGTACAAATTAATGAATGAAAGAAACTTTTATTATTGTCTTGCATGCAACAGTGCTTACAACACATGATATTATGATATAAACTAGAACCATAGTGCTACATATACATTTTCAACCACCCACAAAAAATATTGTCAAACCAGTTTCCATGAAACATCAGTAAAATCTACTTATAGCATATTAACTGAGTAAAGCAATAAGAACTGTGTGATTTATGCCACATAGAAACCTTGCTCTTTATTTTGTCGTCTGCACATTTTGTTCGGATAATTCCAGAATTAGAAAGTCAACTGATTTTCTCTGTAGATTACAAATGTTTCAGCCAAGGACCCAGACCACCTTAACTTGTTGGTACCAGCACCCGACCTGGAATAAAAACAAAAAGAAGACACACATTGTTAATTCTGAATCACAATAATTTGTTGTTGAAGGGTTAAAATCTAGGCTGTCTCATTACATAACAGATCTTGACAAATGTGTTATTACACACTGATGGATTTAGATGTGGAAATAATCACTTGTGGTCTCTGGTGCTCTAAGATTTTAAAGATAATGAAACATTAAATCTTTTCTGCACTGACATCTGTGAGCTGCATTCCAGACAAATAAACAATGCTATGCAATATGTTAGCTCTTAAATGAATGTGTGATTACACACATTACAGATACAGTGATAGTTTTAAAAAGGTCCTGTTTATAGTATCTCTCCACACTTTTTTTTAACCTCTGCTGCTAACATTGGAAACCTTTGTCATGTCTCTCACCAATACTGTTCTTCTTGTAGTAAATCAGTCCAGCAAGTAAAAAGATCAGACCCAGCAGCAGCCCTGCTGTCCCTACAGCAATCTTATTCTTCTCTGACTCAGGCATTGGGACTGAAAAACACATTTATCACAATCACTACATTAGATTTATAGTGTATGTACTTATTTTTCAAAGGTCTTTTATCATAACTCCATCATAACATCAGGATAAGGTCCAAGATTAACATTCAAGTTAATCCACTTTGTCCTGTCATATGTGTCAGGCTCTTACCCCAGTCATATTTCTTGGGCTTTATGAGGCTGGCATGCTCCACCACACAGCTGATTGTCTCTCCAAATCTGGGTGTATACTCCAGATAGGAGTGGATCTGGTAGAGCCAGTTCCCATTGGACAGTTCATCAGTGGACATCACACCAGATGTCACCTCCTCTCCGTTTCTCAACCACGTCACTCTGATTTGTTTGGGGTAAAAGTCATACACGCTACACATCAGCATGCCTGGATGCCTGTTGCCCGGTGCCTCAACTGATCTCAGCCTGACGTAGGGCTCCACTTGAGGAAAATACCCATAGTCAAAACAGTTAGGCATGAAATCACAGATCTTTAATTTAAGAACTTTTTGTGCACCAAAAATGCAAAGCCATTGTAATGCTCCCTTTAGATTTCAGCCTGCAAATTACAATCCAAATATTTATACATATGGTGTGCCACTGAACTACTTACTGGGTGATAATAATGGAGGAATAAGTACGGGGATTTAAAAGGAATCTAGAAACACACTGTGATTTAGGAAAGAGTAATTTATATATCAACAATTAGTGTTTAATGACTTTATAAAAACCCTTTAATATTGAGGCTAATGAATGAAACTTTATTTCAGATTCTCATATGGTTCCATAACAAATAAATAAAATAAAATAAAACATTAGACTAATATCATAATAAAAACAACCATTTTCTCTTTCGCTGTGTGCACACAAAATGGCGGGGGGGCGGGGAGGGGATAATAACTGCAGAAATCATTAAAAGAAATCTTGGCTCTTTAAAGGAGCGTGAATCAGTGTTTTTATAGTAAAAATGTCAAGACTGTGAAAGGGGTCACTCACATGCTGAACCTACAGAGAGTTTGCACCTTGACTCAGTCTTACGGAGCATAGTGAGTTTCAATTCATTGTTTAGCTGTCAGATTTGTAACTTTAGTGTTTTGGTTTCGCTCTCATAGTGTCATTTTTGGCTGCAGCGGCAACTGTTTGCTGTGAAAAAGCTCTAAAAACCCACTGTTCACCACCTGCTCAGCACAAAATGGCAGACAGAGCAAGCAGCTGCAGAACAAGGTGGAGCATTTAACTGCTATAGTGATAATTTCCTCAGAAATCTGTTTTGTTATTGATGTTATTTATTCATAATATAATAAATACTTATGTCAGGATTTATGTTACAGGCCACCATAAGCAAACAAACAAACCTACACTGTAATTACAAGACTGCAGTTTTTAGGGCAGCAGAGGAAGAATCAAATGGACCCCACTTATACAAAAGGGAACTCCCTCACATACAGTATTTTCACTACTTTGTCCTGATTTAACAACAGCTGCCTCAGGCGTAATGACTCATGCACATTTTTCAAAGAAAGTTGGTAAAAACAGTAAAAATTGACACATTTGTTGAGTTGATTATTTATACAGTCACTTACCCAATATACCTCAATGAAATTTATTTTACCCCATACTGTAAACATGAAATTCTGTCAGTTACAAAATACTTAAACATGTATAATTTACTGTAATTTACACAAAGTTAAGTACAAATTACTCTTGTCTTTTCCCCTTGAACTCACAGATAGTTACGCAAACAGCACTTGTAGATAGCACATACTGTATGTACTAAAATATGGCAATATGGCAGTGTGTAATCTGAAGCAAGAGTTTAAACTTTAAAATCCAAAATTACCTGGTCTTGAAAGGATATCAGTTGCAATTGGGACAAAGGATTTGCATGACTCTTCATTTCTTTTTTCGTCTTTTAAAAAAGCTTGGTCTTTGTTTAAGTAATCTGCTATTTTCTTTGTTTTGTCTGTGTAACCTGTAAAATTTCCTAAAGTGCTGTTGTATTGGAGTAGAAGCACCTTTTTAAAGTAGAGTTGTTCCACATAAACAACTTCTCTGGTGGAAGTAAACTGGCAACGAAGTAGAGCGTAACCAAAGAGAGCATCTGTAAGATAAAGCCGGTAAGCATCAGTCAATGTAGAACATTGCATTTTCTCATTCAGGACCTGTTCTCACATAGACTACTCAGTTTGTTCCAGAACTCTAATAGTGCAGTAGCTTTGAAAATGTAGCAACTACAGGTGGAAAGCAGTTATGAGTTCAGTTCAAAGACTCTATCACTTACAGTGTTGGAAAGTAACTATGTATTGAAGAACTGAAAGTTCTATTTACTTTGCAGATTTTAAAAGGCATAAATACAAGGCATTATCATTCAATAAATTGGCAGCTGGACTTGCTTGAGGTTCTTGAAGACATTTAACTTTTGACCTGAGAAACCTCTTCAGTTCTGACTGAGTGGTGGAGGAGTCTCAGGCGTTCAGCATCTGTATTCAGTACACAAACTAACCTTTTGTAGCCTTTAAGCCTTGGCTTAACAAGGCTACTCATGCTAACTAGCTTAGGCTGACTTGTGAGCGTATTACATCAAAGCACACAGTTGTATTTGGCTTAGTTGTGGTTTCAGTCTGTCTTAATCCAAACTGTTATTCAGTTCACCACCAAACTGTATATAAGATTAAAAGGTCAGCGGCCTAAGACAGTGCTCTCAGTCTGAAGCTCTGCTACTAAAAGCCACTTTGCTTCTGCCAGTGATTCATTATAGTCAGTTCACTTTGAACATTTGTTGACAGTTTTATTCATGTTTGTACTAAACAGCTTTAGTAGCATCTGGCCTATCTATGTTCTGTCCTGAACAGCAACACAAATATACAGTGACAGTTTCTATTTTAATTTACTTACCTGCTCTTGGAAATATGGAGAATAAAAACACCAGAGAAAAGAAGCTGCTAATATGCATTGTGTCAAACCAGAAAAGACAAAATGAGAAGTAAATGGACCTTGAAGTGGAAACATGAGGAAGTAAAGTTGTTCTGCATGCTTAAAGCAGGTGTGGCACGAATGGGGTTGGAGGGTACACCCAGGGACCA